TTTTTTTTTTTTTAAAAAAAAAAAAAAAAAAAAAAAAACGAGTATTTTCATAAGCATCTCCAACAATGTATAGGACAATATCTTCCCTACCTTTCAAGTTAGGCCACCTTAGGATAAGTTTTCACTTAATTGTATAATACACTCTGCCTGTTCCGTATTGCAAGGTACTCAGCAAAACTAGAAAAGCTCATGTCTAAAGCTTGCTGGTTTATTATTTTTTCTTATCATCACAGGAAATGTAATAGCTCTGAGGAATTGATTCATTGATCCCAAGAAAAAACTGCTTCATATAAGTTGCATTTTCCTTAAACCTGTCTGGCAGACTTCTGTCCCCAGGGTTGATAGCAAGACATTTCACTTCTCTTCATCACCAATACTAGGTGATGTGTGTTCTCTGGAAGGCAGTAGATAACACCCATGTCACACTGGTTTATCGGCTTTCTCCTGCTGGGAACAGCTGCAACAAAGTTGAGAGCTGCAGATTCTTCTCCAGCCCCCTACTCTTTCCCACACGAGAGCAGGGTTGGATAGGTACTAATTCCCATGCAGACTGTTGTAAATTCCTTATGGAAATCTGGAGCACATTTGACTTAACAAGTTTCTTTTCATTAGTCTCCAGCCACTACAACAGTATCAGCCTAACTGCTGCAGAGCACAAAGCCTGGCCCACAGCTTGCAGCTCACTTGCAGTGGTGCCTCAGAACCTGATTAGAAAACATGAACTCGCTGATTTTAGTGGCATTAGTGGAGCAGTTTCAGTTAAAGCACCAGAGGAAGCTTTCAGGCCCAAAAACACACCAGTGAAATTGCAATTCAGTTAATTCTGATTAACATATTTTACTGTTGCTGAGTAGCACCTTGAATAGGTGTTACAAATTACTTGATGACATGGGGATGTAAGATTATCGTGTTTATTGTCATTTCAAATTGTAGTTGAACTGCCTCAGCCGTGGTTTCTAGCTCTTAGTCTGTGCTTCTAGCTAAAGCATATCAGTATCAGAGCAATGGAATGAATTCCCAGCTGTGAATATGACTGTTGGTGTGAACATACTGAGTGTCTTTGCTTTAAAAAGGATATTTCAATCACATCTAATCTCTTACCCAAATGTAATGAGAAAAAAAATATAAGAATTTGTACCTCTCATTGCAAAAAACAACTTAGAGTGACTGTTTATTTGAACTGGGATTCTGGGGAGGAAAATAAGCAGTTTCCTGCAAGTAATTACAGGATTTCCGAGTTAAACTTGTGAAAGAAGCTTATTCAGTCCGTATAATAACTTAGGAAAATGCCCAGCTGCCTTAATCTTTTCAAAGGCAACAAGCAATTTTACAAGTTGCATCTTCAGAGTGATACCACATAATCTTCTAAGGCATGTGCTTATTTTTAAGACATCCAAATCTGTATTTGCTGGTATGAGGCTTTTAAAGAAATACTGGTCACTGAGTCTTTTTGTGACTAGCACCATGTTTAGCCACCAACACTTTCTTGACAGGCCTACACCAGTGGGGAATTGCTCACAGGGGAGCTGAAGAAGGTACTTATTGAAACAATGCAGCCCTTGATAGCAGCTCATCAAGAAAGAAGGAAGCAGGTCACAGATGAAGTTGTGAAGCAATTCATGACTCCCCGGAAGCTAGCCTTTGAATTTTGAAGAAGTGTGTATGTAATTTAGCACTTGATAATGCAAAACCAAGTAATTGTTGTCTTCTGTTGTATGTCATGACCCTCTAGTTATGTACAGCCTGTAATCAGTGTTATAAATAGTGCTTTCAATGAGTTAATTATCATGAACAGCAAAGTACAGAAAAGGTTTAAAATTGTACCTATTTAAAATCAGAATATACAAGACAGAATTGATCAGTCTTGCAGAAAAGCATGTATGTCAGCACAGCATTGTATTTAAATGTATTTCATGTTGAAAATATAAATAAAATTTCCATTTGATGATAAAGGCTAACTTGGAAATTGTTTTAAATATGTTAGTAAGAGGTCATATCTCAAACCAATAAGTAGTAGCTCCATTTTCTTTTGTACTGTGTACCTTGGTTTACTAGACTGCATGTTCTTTTGGGCTACTGGGAACATGCTGCACACAAAAAGCTAGTTAGTGTTACAGAGTGGGATCAATACAGAAAGAATGGACATCTGTGAGTTGAACACAGGAGAAAGAATATCAGTCTTGTTCTGCTGTTATCTTCCTGTTTGATCTTAGGCAAGTTGCAGAAATCTCGCTTTACTTTTGTTTCTGCTGCTGTTTACTGATCTGAGTGCCTCTGGAGAGAGGAGGTTACCATGAGGTTGCAAAGTTCCTTTATATTCTCAGGTGGAAGATAGTATAGAAATGCAAATTTTAGTGTCTAGTTATAAATACCAAGTGTTAAATCATGCTTTGAAAACTAAGTGACACTGGACACAGGGATACTTCTTGTACTGTCTGTTCTCTTTTACTGCACCAGCTTGTTTAAACTAGGGATAATTATTTTGGGATGTATTGCAGTGAGAAAATATACTTTGTTAAAATACCTCAAGTAATATTTAATTATATCCTTTCTTCAAAAGAACTTAAATCTCTTTGGTACTAGTTATGGAAGAAAATTTCCAATTATTAGCTTGTTTTGATATATTCAATGCTGAATGCAGTGTTAGATCTGTCTTCTATTTATATAGAACAGAAAGTTCCTAGCCCAGACATAGTCTTATCAAGGGTATTTTTATTTAATGCAGATAACACGTGGGTATTGGTGTGCAGTATTTGTAAATCATTTAAAAATACAAGGAAGGCACTTGAATGAGGTGTCAAAGATTTCAACTTAATGGGTTTTCTGTGTTGGAGTATAGTTAACATAAATTGACTGTAGTATTCCTAAAAAAAAAAAATAAAACTAAAAACAAGCAGCTTCTAATTTCACTGCAGATCTTTGAAGGCAGCTGATTACACTTGAATTGAGGGAGTCGTTTCAAGGATGAGACTTGTCACTGACTTCACTGACTTCAGTAGCCCTTGGATCAGGCTTTTAGTACCTGAGAACGTGCTGGGTGTTTGTGCTGCCCGGAGCTGGTGCCGGTTCTGTCACACAGCACACACCCTCTGCAGCGTGACCCTGCCTTGCTGAGATGGAAGTGCCAAGGTGTACATGAAGTAAACCTGTTCATTTATGTTTGTGCAAGGAACCAAGGAAAGACGGAAGTGGAAGGCAAATGTAGTCCTGTTGCATGAGTTTCAAACTTGTGCTGAAAACAGCAAGGCTTAGCTTTTGTCTTTTTCTTTACAGTTTGTGTGAGCTGGCATCACTAATGCCATTGACTTTAATGTATTAATGAAAATGGTTCACAGAGACTGTCTTTATAACTCACATGCAAATCATCTCAATGCCAGCAAGGGCTTAACAACCAGTAGAAAAAAATTTATTTTTTAAAAGTAGTGGAGCAATTCTTAGGAAAAAAAATAGCTTCTTAAATCCAGTATTAAATAAGCTAACTCTTTACTTTAGACTTTGATGATGACCTTCCTATTCTTGCAGTCTATTCTTTGTTGTCTTTAAGCCATACATAAAAGATAAGACTTAAATTGAACTTAAAAGGGCTTTTACGAACTCATAATGCAAATTTCTTGTTTAAAATATTATATGCAGATTTGTCCTGCAAGATTTATTTCATTAACTAAGAATTAATTTAGTTATTCAGGAAAGGAAAATATGCTGTAGGAGAAACAGTACTCTAGTCTAAGCAGATGGATTAATTTTATAACAACAATTAAAATCTGTTTTGAAAGTTCTAGAAAGGAAAGTGATAGCAAAACTATTTAGTATTTGTTTACAGAGCAAGCATTGTTTTCAAGTACTCTGATGAATTCATGCCAACATGCTTCTGAAATGACACTGTTTCTCAGAAGAGCCTTGGTGAATTCCTACATCTGTTGTAATTACAATTCCTGTCCCAGAGGCATTTAGAAGAAGGCAGTTGTCAAAAGCACATGTGAAATGTCTAAGAATGTTATCAGGCAATGTTCATTACATTTTACTCAATTTGCTTATTTTGTTCATCTCACTGTAATAAAAATGTAGATAAAAGTCTGTATCAAACTTCTTTGGTTTTACTTTTTTATTATTATCTTCTAAAACCTTAATTGAAACTGGTTTTGACCTCTCTTCCTACCCTTTTAGGTGCTGACTTTAATCATCTGATGTAGCTGGTCCTTGTTTTGATGTCCGGTGCCTTTCAAGTACTGAAACAAGGTGCCTTATAACCCCCTTCCAGGTAGACTTCAGATTGCTCCCAGAGTGAGCTAGTAAGGGTCAGTTGTCCAAAATTACCTCTTTGCCAGTCAGACTGGATGTTGAATGTCCCTGTGTATAGCAGCCAGCTCTGAAATGGGGGAAGGTCAATATGATCTCTTTACAGGTAGGTTTGGTATAAAACTGGTACTTCAGTGGAAACATGGTGCTCCATAATTGCTATGCAAGAGCACAGATTCTGAATAGGTTCCTGCAGCTCTCCTAAAGTCATACAAAAACATGCTGAAACCTACTTGGATAGTCATAAACATTGTCAGAGGAAACAGGAACCGTCAGCAACGTGAAACTTGAAGCAGAATGTGCCTTCTAAGAAAATTCTCTTTTTTTCAAGGCCACCAACTTGGTTACTGAAAGAAATCATCTATACAACAAGCTGCAGTCCCTATTGCAAAGTAAACCCAATATTGGCACAGCAAATGTGGTGTCTTCTTTCTGTTAGCTGGCCTTCAGCTGGCTAATTTATCAGAATAAATAGTTCTGTGATTGTTAGAGTAGCTAAAGGTGACGATAATACAGAGAAATCAGAAAATAAAGCAGTCAAGTGCTGAAAACCAGAAGCCAGAAACCCAGCTTGGTGTGTGTGTGTCATGTCAGAAAACACAAATTGGTTGATATTTATGTGCCTGTGTACAGCACTTGCAGTCAGTTCCTGTACCTAGTGGTGTTTGTATCAGCGTGAATTAGCTGAGAGTGAGTTCTTACTCTAGGGCAGGTTTTCACCCATACATTGTACACATATTTTTCCCAGTAAAGGGTTGTGAACAGGATGGATTGCAAAGGCCTTACCTTCCTGAAATAAGCTGCCTGGAGATGCAATTTGCTTCTCATGTAGCATTTGTTCAGGCCACATGGCTTACATATGGTGCTGAATGCCCCAAGGCTTACAGTTCTCAGCCCCTCTTACTGGCTTCCGCAATTATTCCCACTCATATTTACAACTCATCTGTAATTCCTGTCTCAAAATCAGCTGTTCAGTTCCACTCACAGGAGGAAGCATTTTTAGTCATTTGAGTGCCGTGAGCCTATCGAGAAAGATGAGCTAGTTAATATTCAAACCTTGGGCTGGCCATGGGTGGTATCAGTGCTGCCTAACAATAAGTGGTTGTTTAGTCTGTTTTGCAGGCATTCTTTTACTGGCTCTGCTGGGGGATGTAATGCCTGGGAACAAGGTCAACTGAGAATAAAGCAGCATAAAGGAGTTTGATTACAAACATCCAGGCAGAGCTGGGTTAAATCACTGCCCAGTTGGGTCAGCACTCAGTTAAATGAGTCCCTTGTATAAAAACGTGAGGGTAGTAGACTCTTAAGAGCTATCTTAAGAGGATTTCCAGACCTTGAGAACTTAATTAAATCTTCAGTTGTAAGGACTTTCTGACTAAAGGAAGTTTGGTGCTGACACTCAAAGCTGTAACCAGGGGTGGTAGGTTGCTGGGGCCATAAGCACTGTGGAGAAAATCCAGTTCAGTGCTGGGTCTTTAATTTCACTCCCCCTTAAGGTGACATACTGTGCACCTGCCTGGTCTTTTAACTCTGCTCTTGGACCAACTGCAAGAGCTGGGTAGACTTGAGAGAATTATGATGCTTGTTTGATAGCAAGGCTGTAAACATGTTTAAAAGGCCAGTTGAAGGCTTAGATTTCAGGAGAACAGTTGTGGACCTTTTTAGTGGTCTCTGTCTGGAGTGGAAGAGGTCCCCTTTATTCTTGTCTAGTAGCACCTGAAATCTTTAAATTTGTCGTTCTAATACAAGATCGTTTTCTATGTGTCCAGGGCAGCTGTCAAGTCTGCTGCAAAATTACTGTCAGTGTAGTCAAAGCCATGCCATCAACTGATGAAAGTGTCTGTGGACCAGAAGGGTCCTGAATATGAGTTCTCCTTTTAAAATATAGTACTCCCCTTCCCCTCCAAGAAACGCATTTTTAGCTGAATGTGAGAGGGGTTGGATCCAGTCCACTCCAAGTGTCATCATGCAGGGATAAAAACAGAGAGAGAAAGCATATATGTGGCCCCTGAGGCAGGATGAGCAAACTAAAGTAGTTCTGGGATTAGGGGTTTTCCTTCTCAAGCAATAGCATGGGTGTTGTTTTTTTCGATTGGCATGTTAATGAAAAGTAGGAAAAAGTAATGAAAAAGAAGTAATAGGAAGATGAGAAAGAAGTAATAAATTCTTTCAAAATATACCTTTGACAAAATAACATTCAGCTGCTCCTAACAGCATCATTTAAAGGGAGAAGAGTATGCACTTTTGAAAGCTGTAAATCTTAATTATGCTCTACAGCTTTGCAACTCTCCTTTAACTTGCCTAACCCCGCCAGTGCGTAGATTTTACAGCAGCCTTTCCTTTGAGAAAGCAAAGAGGCTTTGCATCTATTCCCACCCTCCCTACAGGATGAGAACAGATTGCCTCCAAAACTGCGCCAAGCTCAGAGAGATGCTGTTCCATAGGCCTCCGTGAGAGGCCTGATGCTGTGTAGGGCTCTGGGAGAAAATCACGTGGCTGCCGGGAAACCGTGCCTGGCGTCACTGCAGTGAGGCCATTAGCTGGTTATGTAAACAGACCATGCCTGCCACTCATTAAATAGCAACAAGGAAAAGCAAGGACATTCATATTTCAGCTGCTGCCAAGGGGATATAACTGTAGAGTACTCTGGGAAAATTACAGCTGGGAAAGTGAAGTTACAGCCTGAAGCACAAATATGTAAGTCACTCAGTGAATGCAGTGCAGGCATTACATGTAAAGAGCGCAGGCTGGATAGTGTTAAATCTTACACAAACTCCCCCCAGCTCTTGCTTTGGTCATGAGGATCATTTTCTGGGCTGGTAGAAAACGAAATTAGGTACTTTACCAAAACCTCTGATCAGACAAGCAGCTTGTTAGAGCATAAATATTCCCAAATGTTTCAAGGGCCAAAGCAGCAGCTACAGTCTAAATACTTTAACGAGATAAAAGAGAGGTTGTATATGAAGCCAAGGCTCCCTGATGAGTTCGTAATCCTATTGGAATGAAACAAAGCCATCAGTCATCAGCTTTGTGCTGAAATGTCTGTGCTTCTTATGCTGTCCATCAATTCAGCAATTGATTGTGGATTTTGTATTACAAAAAAGAATAACAAACAAGATACACCTCTGAAAAGAATAGAATGAGCTATTTTTTGCTTATATAACGATCTGTAAATCTCAGTACAGCTTCATACGTTACAAACACTACCATGTTCACAGGAAAGGCACGAATGCAGTTTAAACCCAGTCCTTTGAAAAGCACTTTTGCACCCTCCTTTCTCACACTTTCCCTAACACAGTGGATCAGGCCTTTGTACTTGTGCTGGTCCGACTCATCTACTTGCATCCGTGATTTGATGACATCCATGGGAGTAGCTAATCCCCAGGCCAGGACTCCAGCAAAACCCCCAGAAAGCAGCACAACGAGGAAACCTGCAGGAGAGAGTGAACGGAGGAGCAGTTCACTTGAGTCTCACGTAGCTACAAGCATCTCAGATTTGTCAGTGAACTTGGGTAACTTTCATGTTTTTTCAGAAGTTATTTTGTCCAGCTCTTGCATTTGTGTGTTTCCAGTGATCTCACA